CTGGAGGTGGTGATAGAGTCACCAGCCATGGAGGTGCCATGGCCTGGTTGACATGGTGCTCTTAGGTCATAGGTTGGACTTGAGGATCTCAGAGTTCTTCACCCTTCCTAGAAAGGGTGGTTAGACCTTGGAAGGAGCTGCTGAGGAGGTGGTGGAGTCACCAACCCTGGAGGGGTTTGAGGAAACACTAGATGAAGGAGCTGTGAAAGCTCAGCCTGGAGAAGAGGAGGTTCAGGGCTGACCTTAGCACTCTACAACTCCCTGACAGGAGGTTGGAGTTGGTCTCTAATCCCAAGTGACAAGTGACAGGATGAGAGGACATAGCCTCAAGCTGTGCCTGGAGAGCTTCAAATTGGACATTAGGAGGAATTTCTTCCCAGAAAGGGTGATTGGATCCTGGAAGGAGCTGCCCAGGAGGTGGATGCTGTCCCTGCTCAGGGTGGTGCCACAGCCCTTAGTGAGACGTGTGTGGGTTTGTGGGTGCAGCTCAGCTGATGTCCCTGTCCTCTCTCCACAGCTGCCACCACTTACTGACTCACATCTCCCATGTGTTGTTCCCTCTCCAGCTGGCTTTGGTGGCATCACTGGGCTGGGCAACCTTGGCATGGGCTCTGCCAACTTCATGGAGCTCCAGCAGCAGATGCAAAGGCAACTGATGTCCAACCCTGAGATGCTTTCCCAGATCATGGAGAACCCTCTGGTGCAGAACATGATGTCTAACCCTGACCTCATGAGGCAGATGATCATGGCCAATCCTCAGATGCAGCAGCTGATGGAGAGGAATCCAGAGATCAGCCACATGCTGAATAACCCAGAGCTCATGAGGCAGGTGAGTCTCCACCCCACGGAGTCAGGAGCTCCTCTGGGACCAGGGGGAGAGCCTGGAGAGCTTCCTGACCTGGAGCTCTGTGCAGCTCTGGGTTCCCTTTCAGGGCTCTTGAATCCATGGGCAAAAAGAGCTGCTGGGATTGTCCCAGTCTGCTGACTGCTGGGATTCCATTCCTTGGAATGGAGGCAGAAGGGATGAGTGAGACTGCAGGCGTCCAGTATCCCTTGGCAGGACTCTGCTCTTCCCTGGAAAAGCTTTCCAGGTTGTTCTGTCCCTGATTCATCACAGAACAGACAGGACCTGTGTCCTTGAAGCTGTTTGGAAGACCAAAGCTTCCTTGGAATAGAGGCATAAGGGATGAGAGAGAGTCCAGGTGTCCAATATCCCTTGGCAGGACTCTGCTCTTCCCTGGGAAGGTTTTCCAGGTTGTGCTGTCCCTGATTTGTCCCAGAACACACAAGACCAGTGCCCTAGAGGCTGTGGGAAACCAGAGTTTCCTTGGAATGGAGGCATAAGGGATGAGAGAGAGTCCAGGTGTCCAATATCCCTTGGCAGGACTCTGCTCTTCCCTGGGAAGGTTTTCCAGGTTGTGCTGTCCCTGATTTGTCCCAGAACACACAGGACCAGTGCCCTAGAGGCTGTGGGAAACCAGAGTTTCCTTGGAATGGAGGCATAAGGGATGAGAGAGAGTCCAGGTGTCCAATATCCCTTGGCAGGACTCTGCTGTTCCCTGGAAAAGCTTTCCAGGTTGTGCCTGGGCCTGGTCTCCATGTATTCCTTGGTTATCCTCCTTTCAGCTGTGTCATTCCAGAGCTGCCAGGGCTGAGCTGTGAACAATTCATGCTCAAACAGCTCCTCAGACACCACCTGGATGTTCCTCGTGCTGGGGAGAGGGTGGAAGGATCCAATCTCTTCCACCTTCCTGGATGCAGTGAATCGAGTCCGAGTGGGAAAAGATGGATATGGAGTGTTTGGATATCCCAGTAGTGCTTAGGAACAAAACCACCTCATGCAGCTGAGCTGAGGCTGAGGAGAGGGAGGAGAGCTGGGAAGGGCTGGGATCCCTGGATATTCCTGTGAGAGGAATGGAATTCTCCTCCTCCTCCTCCTCCTCCTCCTCCTGGGAGCTGCGATTTAACTCTTCCAACCCCTTGCCCTGCCTCTTGCTCCACTCCAGCCCTTCCTGCTGCACTTGAACCTGAGCTTTCCCCTTTTCCCCCTTTATCCCAGACGATGGAGTTGGCTCGTAACCCTGCCATGATGCAGGAGATGATGAGGAACCAGGACCGAGCGCTGAGCAACCTCGAGAGCATTCCAGGCGGATACAACGCGCTGCGCCGGATGTACACCGACATCCAGGAGCCAATGTTCAGTGCAGCCAGGGAGCAGGTACTGCCCTCGGCCTGCCAGGCTGGGAGGGGGAAAGGGATCTGCTCCCAGCAATTCCTGCAGGAGGAGCAGCTCTCCCAGGGCTGTGCTGGCTCATCCCGGGGGAACTGGGGCAGTGTCATCTGTTTGTGGGCTGGGATGAGCTTCCCTGGCTCCTCCTGCCTCCCAGCAGAATGATGCCAGCCCTGCCCCGTGGGCAGGCCCTGCCTCCTCATTTTCCTGGGAGCAGAGGGCTGTGCTTAGCCTTGGGAGTGGAGGTGGCTCATCCCTGGAGAATGTAGTGCAGTGTCGTCTGCTCTGACATGGGATGAGCTTCCCTGGCTCCTCCTGCCTCCCAGCAGAATGATGCCAGCCCTGCCCCGTGGGCAGGCCCTGCCTCCTCATTTTCCTGGGAGCAGAGGGCTGTGCTTAGCCTCAGGAGTGGAGGTAGGTTGTGGAAGTGGAGGTGGCTCATCCCTGGAGAATGTAGTGCAGTGTCGTCTGCTCTGACATGGGATGAGCTTCCCTGGCTCCTCCTGCCTCCCAGCAGAATGATGCCAGCCCTGCCCCGTGGGCAGGCCCTGCCACCTCGAGTTCCAGGGAGCAGAGGGCTGTGCTTGGCCTCAGGAGTGGAGGTGGCTCATGGGAGTGGAGGTGGCTCATCCCTGGAGAACGTGGTGCAGTGTCATCTGCTCTGACATGGGATGAGCCTCCCCTGGCTCCTCCTGCCTCCCAGCAGAATGATGCCAGCCCTGCCCCGTGGGCAGGCCCTGCCAGCTCGTTATCCCAACCCTCTGCTCCCTGGATTAGCCTGGGGAGTGGAGCTGGCTCAGCTCCAGCTGGCTGGGAGAGCACGGGGGAGGGAGCACAGGTCTGGCTGTGCAGACATACTCCAGTCCAACCTTCCCTGCTGGTGTCTCCGGGTGCTGGTTTCACTGGGGAGGGTGTCAGAGCCAAATCTGGGGCTGTGGCCACTCCTGAGATTGGATTTTTTCCCGGTGTGGTTTGCAGATTTCCCAGGAGGCAAACCATGGCACGTGTTTGGCACAGCCTGGGCCAGGCTGGGTGCTGTTCCCTGGTGCTGGGATTGATCTCCTGGGTCTGATTGTGTCCTTTCCTTTCTTCTCTCTCCCTAGTTTGGCAACAATCCCTTCTCTTCCTTGACGGGGAATTCCGACAGCTCGAGCTCTCAGCCTTTGAGGACGGAGAACAGGGAACCACTTCCCAACCCCTGGAGTCCCACACCTCCTGCTTCCCAGAGCCAGGCACCCAGCAGTGAAGGGAGCACAGGCTCAGCCACCACCCAAAGCACCCCAACTGTGTCCAACCCCTTCGGGCTCAACGCTGCCAGCATCGGCGCTGGTACGGGAGAGGAGCCTGAGGGAGCCAAAATTCCTGGGAGGGATGATCCCTGTGGGATCTGAGGCACAGGAGTGGGGCTGGAAGCACAGTGGGGTGGTGAGTGTGCTTGTTGGGGGTTTCTGAGGTGTCCCTGGAGCGTGACCATGAGCCCTGCCATGCCCACAGACACTGCTGACTGTCACACACAGGCACTGCTGTCCATCTGAGGAGCCCAAACTTCCTTGGAAGGCTGATCCCTGTGGGATCTGAGGCACAGGAGTGGGGCTGGAAGCACAGTGGGGTGTTGAGTGTGCTTGTTGGGGGTTTCTGAGGTGTCCCGGGAGTGTGACCATGAGCCCTGCCATGCCCACAGACACTGCTGACTGTCACACACAGACACTGCTGTCCCTCTGAGGGATCCAAAATTCCTGGGAGGGATGATCCCTGTGGGATCTGAGGCCAAGGAATGGGGCTGGAAGCACAGTGGGGTGTTGGGTGTGCTGTTGGGGTGTTGTGGTATCCCTGGAGTGTGACCAGGAGCACTGC